CCTCGCGGGAGTGGGACTGGCTGACGCGAAACGAAGCGGTTGTCCAGCTCTGCTGGATCCTATGTCATATCCACTCGAGCCAAGATGCCGTTCCGCTTGATATGAGTAGCAGCTGGTGTTTGGTGCACATGGGTCACATGCGCGCGGCGGCGCACAATCAACAGCAAGATCTCTGCGACGTAACTTGCGCCGTTGTGCTGTACGCAAATGACCACGTGCCCGCTAAACGAGAAGATCAACAACAAATGCAAATCGATGATGACGTGGTTCGCAAGATATCCGACGATTTCACGCAACACATCGACAACCAGCTCGTATCAACCGCGTCGACGCGACCCGCAAAACCAACCTTTGTCGCTTCCTCGGTGGATTTCTCCGTGTACTACAGTAACACGTGCCGCGACGTAACCGTGGTTGAAGCGGTGCTTCCGAAGAGCAGGGAAGGCCTTCCCGACGACCCGGCACGCGTAGCGGAGAGCATACTCTTGAATTATCCGCGAGTGGCGGAATCGGCCGTGGACCGATTGCAGTTTGCGCTTCCGACGCGCGACGATTATCTGGGTGTACACTGGCCAGAGTTCGTGAACGCGACGAGAGCGTGTTATCCGTTATATAAATCCGTAGCGCTACCCCCCGCGCCCAACCCGGTGTATTTGGTAGATTTGTTAGTGCACGCTTGGCGGGAATTGAACTGCGATGGGGCGGGTACAACCGGTAAATTCATCCCGTTCGCGTCGGGCGCAAAGCGATTCATTTCACTCGATCGCTATCGAACATATTTCGAAGCGCCCCTGGATACTTTGCAAAAGAATGGTGTGATCTCTGAGCGCGAACGAAAACGCATGGAACGCACTCTGCGCGAGGGCGTCTTACCCTGTTTCGGCGGACCCGGAGACAGCTGTTCGGACAAACTGATCAGTTATACGCTGGCGGTCGCCTTCGCGGGTTGCGGGGCGCATTTCGGTCGCCGCGTGGAGAATTGCATCGATCAACCCGCGTGCGTGACGGTCACGCACGCCGGAGTGATATATTTCGCCGTTTGGTATATTCGCGTGTACGTTTGCGCCGCGCACACTCACTTGGGTTTAAAACAGACCCTATCGATGTCCGGTTCGGACGCCGACGATCTCGTGGTGGAGATGTTCGAACTAAACGAAGGCGGCGCGGTAGTCAATTTCGACGGAGCTCGTTTAAAAAAGCTGATGGAGTTGTTGTTTGATGGGCTGCTGGAGGAAAACGAGCGTCTTCATATTGCGACGTTATACGTGCCGGCGATGTGGTCGCAGCTACCTTACG